TCTCACCAAGTCACTATTTTTGCTTCAGTAAAAAGGTACCAAAACCAGTTCCATGATACTTCCTCTAATCTAATTCCTCAGCTGAAAAACACAGCTTCAATAGTTCTGGCCAATTCAGAAATAACACAATTAAAAATAGTCACTAAATAAAGCTGAAGCCAAAACTGGTAACTGCAATCTGCTTGCAAATGCTTTGAGCAGAATAAGAGCCTAAAGGGAGTTATATCATCAAGAATTAATCACTTCCTCTAAGAAAGCAAACAGGGTCAAGAATCTGGCATTAAATTCACAGAGGATTTTTGGTGTTTCTAAATAAATTGTGTTGTGTTACTATTATTTACCCATATTTGCTTGTACAAGGACTCCATTACTACAATCACAGCAGCATGTGGGACCTCTCCCTGTCTAGGATTTCATTTTTTCTTTTAAGATAAATAGCTCATTTTACTGAACAATATTTGAAGCAAGCCTGTGATGCTGATTTGCTGCTTACTGTTCTGATAAGCAACATATGATCATAAACATTTAAGAAACAAACATGAAGTTCTCCTGGTTTTGGCAATAAGACTCATTTATTATCTATTTTAACATAAGCACATACTACTTTTGTAGCCCTTTTGTTTGCTGTTGGTGGCCTGTCTTCATTTATACAGGTGAAAGCTGGGTCAAAGGTTCAGTTAGAATGCAATGGATCAGGTTTTTATTCCTTTGATTTAGAGCTCAGTATCCAAACCTTGGTATTACCAACCACAAAAGATGATCTGGATTCATATTTTAAGCCAGAATTCATTTCAGACAGCAACTGGAAAAAGAAGTGGACAAAACCCAACTCATAAAATTTGGTAGAACCAGTTTATATTTGTGCCATTACCAGGACATAAAGTGAAAAGAGAATTTTCCCCTTTTTCTCCTCCCTCCTTCCAGCCACCTGTCTGGTGATGTGACAACATCACAGGTAATTTACTGCTCATATTCTTCTGCTCTCCTCTGAGAACTCTTTAGAAGGGCATTGCAACAATTTTAAGCTACAAGTCATGAACCCTACGTGCTTTCAGAAACGTGAGCTCTCATATGGAAAACATGCTCAGTATTCCTGTCACCTTAATTAAACATGTTCTTGACGTGTGGTCAAGCAGAATCAGCCTTCCTTGTGCATGAAAAAACCCTGGTGGCTTCTGGGCTGAACATGTTCCCTGAAAAAATGTAGATGTATTCTCCAAACAAAGACATTTATCCAATTATAGCAATTACAACCAATTATAGCTAATTGCAATTTAAGACTAACACAGGATCTTGGAAGCTGACATTCTCCCTCATGACCCCACAGTAATAATACAAATTCCAAATTCTGTCACCAAAATAAACTCAGACCTCCCTGTCCACACAAATACCAGACAATCAAATGCTCACCTCTTGTATCCTGTATAAAGAGAGGAACATTGTGAAATCTTCCTGGAGCTGGCCAATGCATAAAGGTACTCAAAGTAACAAACTGTTAATTAAATGAACCCTACTGATTTCTTTTCCATTTTTAATTACTGAATATCTGGCCTACCTGGAATTGCTCCATTGGATACAAACCTGGAATTACAAGCATTTATTTCCCATGCACATTGATTTTTAGATAAATAACACCCCAGGACTTGTAAGTTCCTATTTTGTTTGTGGAGAGATTTTGTCAGCCTGACCTAAATGTCAAAATGACATCAGACATGAGATGAAAAGGAAGAAATCAATTATGAAAAGTTGTCTATCCATCCCATTAGTATAATGTATGCCTGCAAATTCGGTGATCTTTTCAGGTCCCAGTTGTGCACGTGGCTTGTCCAATTAAATGTTCTGTGTTCATTCACCTTAATTTTCCTTCTGCATGTGTTGGATTCAGTTTATCTCTCTTTATCCACACATCACATTTTTCATCAACTGGTATGGTGGGTAATCATTACCAATAAAAGGTTTCTACTGATTTCTGCATCATTTGTTCTGTTTGTTTCATTGAACACAAACATTCTGTCTGTCTGTCCCTTTGGTTGCTCATTTTTGATCTTTTGCTTGCTGCTGATGTTTCTGTCTCGTTGCAAGGAAGGAAAAATACATCTGGAGAGGTGGGGATGCCATGAGGCCTCTCCTAGGCAGGCTGCACAAAGGTTCTCTGCAAGAGAAACTCTTCAGAAGGCACACAGGAAGGACACAGGCAGGAAAAAAATAAAATTGCTGCATTTATGATATTCATAAACATCAGTTTTGATGAACTATGGGCATAGAGAGGCTGCATGGTACCATCACAGGTGCTAGCTTTAAATTAGCATAAAACTGCCAATGGATTATAAAATCATGGAAATAACAAATACAGAATAAACAAACTTATATTTCAGCATTATTTTGGGTCAGAATAGCAACATTTGTGCCACTCAGGAGCACCTCTGAGCTACTGGACACAGTCAGGAGTCTGGGCTCCCTACAGCCAAAGGTCCATTCCCTCACACAAGATTGGCAGTACACTGAAAAAGAAGCAAAATGGGCTCCAAACAATCCAAAAGATCCAGAGATTTCTTTGATCCAGTGGAACATGCAAGTCACTCTTTGGCTTTACGAAAATATCTGTGCTCCACACATTTTTCTTCTCTGTATGACCTGCACTCCTTGGCCCAGGGAGGTGAGGCCAAGAAAATCGTCTGTGCTCCAGGAAAGCAGAACTCTCCTTCAGGACAGGTGTTGGCTCTGAGAGTGGTAACAGGTTGTTCACAACATTTTTATGGAGTAAGCAAGGTCAGGCCAGGCCATCTGGGAGTGCCAGTGCTGTCACTCTTGATACACATCCCTGCATTTTGCACTCTTACAGCTCCCCATTTCCAGCACCACAGATTTTCTTTTTAAAGGCCTCGTCTTGCATGGGTGAGGTTTTAGATTCTGGTATAATAAAGCTTGTGACTGACAGCCTATCCTAGAAATGCCTTAAGAAACACTGTTTTGAAGATGAGAATGGCTCCTGACTGAAGCTTCTAGCCCCTCTTTGTGAGCTGCCTGCCAGCTTTTACTTGTGATTTATTTTCCTCATGGGTTCAAGTGAAGTGGGAAATACCAAATTGCTCTGAGCTACTTGTAACCATCATACCAAGAGAGGTACTATAGATTATGTCAACTCTCTTCCTCACCACTTGCATTTCTGCAGTCATGAAGACAGAAAAAATAATTCCCCAAACACTAACAGAAGCAAAAAAAGGAGCCCTTTTTGGTGCTGGTCCATGAATTTTACAACACACACTGAAGGGATGACAGAAATCTGAAGAGTGGAACTCCTTCACTTTACCTTGTAACAATCTTGTGCTGAAGGAAGGGAGAAAAGTGTCAAGAAAAAATTTTGGACTGAGATTAAGGAAGAAAAGTTTGTAAATACCTACACTCTAAGAAGACAGGAAGGACAGCTTTTAAAACTGAGCTAAGAAAAAGGAAAATTATAGCAGAATTTGCAAACAAGAATTATTATATCCCAAACACCCTCATTGCTTCATAGGTGAAGGAAATCAGAATAATGGTGTGCTTCCCATACCACTTTTTTGGTTTCCACTCTTTATACTAATGAAGCAATAGCAAGAAACTAAATTCATGATCACAACTATAAACTATTCTTGATAAAACTGACAATTTTGGTTATAGAAATAATTTTGCTACAGAAAAGAAGGGTTAGCATTGTGTGATTGTCAAATTAAATGCTTTCCTTTTCCATAATGAGACTAAAATATGTATGGATTTTTAAGGCTTGTCAGAGACTTAGATATTATAACATCAGGCTTCAAACAGCTAAGCAGTTCAAGCAGCTGCAGAATTGCCTCACTCCAACAAACACTTCCCAAGTGATAAAAATTACTGAATATATAATATCTCTTCGTTCTTATCACATTTTAATAAAAGGCTTTGTGGTGGGAAGCACAGTAAACTCAGCCATGCACTAATCTTATATCAGTGATGGAGAAAGCTGCTCTCATAATTTTGATCTAAATACTCTGGGACCTCATTCTGCTCCAATAAATTTGGTGTGAGCTGCAGCACCATAACTCAGTGCTTATACAGCCAGTGCCAGGTGAAAGGAAAATTCCAGGATTCCTTCTGTGCCTGCCCCACTGGCTTGGAATTAAAGCTCATAACATATCCACAAGCATCTACTACTCTCTTATTTATTTATTTCTGTGACTCAAACAAGAATGAAAGAGCAAAATCAGCTCACAATTTCATTCATCTCATCATCCACCTTGTTTGCATTAGATACTTCTGCACAATTAGGCAATTTGAATTTATCACTTTCAAAAAAATTCATAGATACAACTTACTGGTTCTCAATTGTCAGTTCTTAGAACAGCTGACAGCAACAAACATTACTGGCCAAAAAACCCCAAAGAAGCTTACAGTAATGAAGTTATTTTACAGATGAGAAAAATAATTAGACATTACATAAAATACACTAGAAATCTTCTCAAAACAGAGCAAGGAACCTTTGCAAACATCTAAATTAGTCAGACTAATTAAACCAGAGAGATGAATTCTCAAAAAGCCACCTACACATCTGTCAGGACACAGCACAGACTGGGGGTATCTGATCAAACCATGAGACCTAGACTGAGAACCACCTCAAAGCCAAAAGAAGAGTGACTGTACTGTCCTCCTTCATACTCCTCTGGAATAAAACAAAATTTCACTATATAGACAAAGGTCTGCACTGGGGAGCAGATGCCCCTCAGAACCAGTGTTCTGTAGCCCTGAATATGCTTCACTCTGCTGACAGTCCTGCTATGACTCTGAGCCATCTCAGGTGGTCCCAAAATAAGGAAGGGTCACAGGCTCACAATTTTATTTCCAGAAGGAAATTTCTGACTTTCTGAAAGTGAGAAATTCAGACTCCTCCAGCAAAAATCAGGTTCACAATCCAGAAGAAAAAGAGCAACCCCAAACCACAAACAGGACAGCTTTTTTACAAAGGAGGCACAGTGTTTAAGTGAACTTACAGGAAGAGTGGATGCTTGGAAAGCTTTTTCTGCCTTCAGAGACCAGGTCTGGATCACCTGTGCAGTGCATTTCAGAGTTCATTACTCCATCTGGAAAGCAGCGGTAAAAGAAATCGGGACGCGGTCTACAAGAAACACCATGGATATTAAAAATACAAAAGCTGTAGTAACAAATAAACCTCAAAGTGATTATTATATTTACTGCTTATTACACACATGCAGGTTACTCTTGCCTAGAGTGATTTGTTTTAAACAGAGTGAAGTGTAATGACTCCCAAATTTTCACAGGTCTTGCCAAAACACCCAGCTCAGAACATCCTAAAAACATCCACCAAAATCTAAACCAGTCTTGATGCTGTCTCAGTGCATTGAGAAAGACCTCTGAGTTTCTCCTGCTGTGAGCTGGGCCTGTAGGTGTGACTGGTGTCATACTGATCCTGAGCCAACAAACCACGTGGAGAAGAAAAGTGAACCATCACAGATCCAGAGACAAGCTGACAGCAAAATACTTGGCTTGGAGTGCAAGAAAAATGATCTTATACCTGTCTAAAGAAGAGGGTGTACTCTTAATTATTTTAAAAGCACCCATCAAATTACTGTCAGGCCATCAGTCCTGCAGCAGAAAGGGTTCATCAGAAACCAAACACAAATATTATTTCCTCAATGCTGCAAAACATCCCAACAAAAGCAGCACTGGACTCTGTCAGAGTATGAATTTAAGTCAAATGTGTATTTTTCAGCTGAAATTATTCAAAATTTTGATAAAGAGACAAAAAGTGCCTAAAAACATATTTTCCAGGGAGTTCTGTTTGCCAGATTTTTCTGGGCCCTTCATTGAAAATAACGCTGCCCTAAGGAAATGTTCGACCTAGGGATCCATTCACTGCTTAGCTCCCAGGTTTGTCTGATGTCACCTGGACACAGAACAGCTGATTCCTGTTTAATCAGACAAGGAGTGCTGGAATCTGAGCTCCCACATGCTGTGACTCTTCCCTCCCGTTTAATGAACAGATTTCAACTCCTCTCAAACCCCTCTCGTGTCTGGACCTGCCAGCGACTCGAACAGCGCCATGGACCCCTGCCTCCGCGGGATGTCACCTAATGAAGCTGTCCAACACCTGCACCAGCCCAAGGACAGCTCCACAGGGTCCCCCTGACTCCTCGTGCTCTGGAGCAGCAGCTCTCTATTTCTGGGGATTTGTTGTAGCAGTCAGTCTGTCTCCATTTCTCTCAGCAGTTAAACCCATCGTTTATAACATGACAGGACTTACCTTCCCACTATTAATTTAATAGTATTTGTGCAGACACCATTCAGAGCTAGAGCCAAGGAAACAGCTACAAAACAGAATGAGCAAACAGAACAATAAGTACCTTAGTACCAAGGAACAAATTGCAGCATTACAGCATTTGATTTACTGAATTAAACCTTTACTGGACTGAAAACTGAATGTTTTTTGGTTTTTTTTTCAGCCTACTGTTTTTCTTGTTAGCCAGACTAAAGACAGACCTCAGAGCATCAGAATAATCATGACTTGCTTTGTTCTTATTTCCCTGCTCCAAGCCAGTTTTCCTACCATGCCATTTGCAAAAGTCAACAAATGGGAAAAAATGAGAGAATTAAGTACTGTGGGTTTGCAATTTTTGGGTTTTGTAATTTACCAGATTAAACTCTCATGTTCGTTATGTCAAACAGAATTCCTGTTTAGACCAATACACAAGATATATAGATATATCTAAACACATGTGTGTATATATATATATGTGTGTGTGATCCACTTAAACACTTCACTTTCAGCCTAAAGAACTACATTTTGGGTAGAACTACAATTGGATGACTTTATTTCTCTTCCAAAAGGATTTGGATGTTTTGATTAAATATTTCAGTGTTTTCCCCTTATGTTTGCTCCCATGATTAACAATTTTTTCTAATAAGATTGGGGAACAAGAAGGAACTGTCATACCAGGTAAGACTTAATCATATTTTCTATTTTTGCTTGCACGCCAAGTCCCTAGACTTTCCAAAGAACCTCATCTCAGGCCTGTGGAGATCTTTGCCTTGATTTCACTGGCTCTTGGATCCTGCACATGCACACATTTTAGATTAAAACTGATTTAATTTTGCAGTCCACACCGTAGCTCTCTGTTGCAAGCCAGGAGTCAATGAATTTTATTTCCCATCTGGAAAAAAAAAAGTCTGATTTCCAGCAGAACATTTACAGTAATATAACTTTGATTATGACAGCCACATGAGCTATTTTCTCCTTGGGCTGCTGCCCCAGCTGCTGCACTTCAGCAGCACTCATCCTGTCTCCATAAAACCTTTGCCTGAGGATATTACAGATCATAAAAATGTGTTATAGGATCTATTTTTTAAAGCTAAAAAAAAAGTGGGACCTTCATCAAAGCAAAAATAAGGGTTTTCTCAGAATATAACAATAGCTGCCAGCAAAAATAAAAGAACAAGTCAATCCTAGAGACATCCAAACTGTTAAAAAAACTCCTCCTCTTTCAACACCTCTGTTCACAGTGACCACTCAATCCCATGCTCTGTTTTTCCACTCCATCATTTTGTCTCAGTTTTTTATGGAAATTGCATGGGGAACTTTTCCATTATGTCAAATGCAGATGATCAGCAATGCCACAGTACTACACTCCCCTTCTTAAAAAACATCTGCTTTTGAAGACAGCAAGTAAAATTCAGTCTTTTTGTCTTGATTGTTCCTTGTACACCTGACAGAGCTGTGCCTTCACTGTTGCACATTCCTCACAGTGGCAATCCAAGCATCAAGTGACAGTGTGAATGTAGGATGGTAAAAAAAAATTCTAATTAAAAAAAAATGCTCTATTTGGTTTTGTTTTCTTTAAGAAAGATCCCTATTGCCCATCTAAAGTCATATAATCCAGTCAGTAAGAGATTCAGGCACTCCCAGGGGAAGGTTTAAGGGCACCTAAATCAACTCCTCCTTACTCCAGGTGCATTCAATCCCCTTCTTTGCATTATGAGGGGCAAAGAATTTTCATCTCTTTTTAACCTTTTCTCTCCTCCATGCTTCATGCTTAAAGAAATCCACCTTTTGGGGCAATCCCTGAACATTCTTTATGAACATTTATGTGCCAGATCTCAACTAATCAAAGGCCCACCACACCTAAGAAACCTTCACATCACCAGGCACTGTTAGTGTACAGTGCACTTGAACAAAAATGAGCCACAAGAAGTTCCACACTTATGGCACATAAACAGAACATCAAGGTTGTTGTTTCCTTAGTCAGGGTAGCAAGAGGAATGCTGGGGAAGCTGGTGACTTTTCTCCTAAATGTTATAGAGGGAATAACAACAGAAGGTAAAACAGCAGGAAAAAAATATTGTCTTTTTAGAACAAAAAGGTGAAAGTGATGAAGAAACTGAGCCTGAGCTCCTTTCCTTCTTACACAACAGAAAGTGAGGCTCAGAGCTGACTGTGTTTTATGAATGAGGAGTTATTTCCACTGAATGGACTTGTCAGTAAAGTATCACTGCAAGACATTTCAGAACTTACAGCAAATGACTGGCAGCATTCAAAACAAACCTAGGATTGTTTCATACTTGTGTGAGAGCAGCTGGAGAAAGAATAATCTATGGGAATGAAGCTTTTTCCAAGGCAGATACACAATGCCATTAATATCCTATCTACTTAAGGCAAGGCAGAGTATTTCTTTGATTTTACTATATAAGGGTCAATAAATAAAGTGTAAATTAGCCAGTAATACAGAATTTCAGAATTGTGCACATTTCGAACATAAGGCCAACAAAAACATTTGCAGTTCTTAGTGCCTCAGGGTTTCCCTTGCCAGTGAAAGTGCTGAAGCAATATTGGTCTCTGGCAATATCTATCTAAAAAGGATCTGAGCATGTATCACTGGAAGATTTCAAGAGATAGGCACAGCCAGAATTAGCTGGAACAGCTTAAAACACCCTCTCCACTGTCCTCTACTCCAATTTTCTGCCTACAACTGTAATTAGACCTCACCCATAGCACAGCCACTACTGCTCACAGTCCAGGATTAAGTGCACAGCTAATTCCATTGGCAGTTTAAGATGAAAACAACAGCTTTCTAATTAGAAAAACTGAGCCAAGAGCAGAATTTTGCAATGGATAACAGTAAATTCCAGGAGAAGATCAGAGAAAACAATGAGAGGAGCAATTTCCTCCACCGAGTAGCTGAGTCGCACAGGACGTTCCAGTCAAAGCCTTAATTTAGAATAGCTGCAAGTATAAATAAGAGGTAATAGATTGGGTGTGACTGAAAAATATGCACCTGAACAGTCTCTCAGATAGACTTGTCTTTGCTGATCAAATTCCAGCCCTTGCTGGCTAGATTGTGCAATTAGGGCACAGAATTTGTACATCTAGAAACACAAACTCAAAGGTTTGTATGAGGTGCCTTGAAACTGCACTGAAAACTACTATAATGGGCTGTAATGGAGACAGGTTTTCTTCAAGGCTTGGATTACACTTGGAATCAATCTCTGAGAGCTATCACACACTTTTCCACCTTGAAGTATGACATACATTACCTAAGAAAGCCTCTTTAATTTCGGTCTTGTCTGTTCGACGGATTATTTTCACCACGAAAATGACTGCTAGTGGCGTGAGGAACGAAATTGCCTGTGAGAGATAACAAATACCATGTGTGAGAGCATCAATTCCTTCTCAGCCCAACTGATTAATAATTAGCTGCAGCCAGCTCCATTTAAACTGAAAGGCTGAATGATCTTTATCAAACTCCTGACCTTAAGCAAAGTGGGACAATTTGTCTTTGCAACTACAGGGTGACGAGCACATTAATATTCCAATATAGCCCTCAGCTGTAATTGATCTGTAATTGCCCAGAGCTGCATTTAAAATGTCAACTTCTCCAATGAAAAAGTAACAGTCCATAAGGTTCACAAAATTCTGATCCATACAGATTTTGGACATTTTTTCCTCAGTGTGCTGTGGAAGGCAGCCCACCCATCCAGGCTGTGTGCTCAGTAAGACCCCGCTCAACACAACAGACTGCAGCACCAACCTCGTGGCATTTTAAAATGCTCTTTATCTTACTTTCTGTTTTCTTTTCAACTGTCATGCTTGAATGCATTGGGAAGATTGTGTCTTCATGATTCTTTTGTTTACAAGGGTTTGGATGTGGAGCAAGCTGCTTTATTCTGTTCAAACCCAGAGAAACAACACCTGAGCATCAACAGATTTAGTCACTGCTTAAACAGAACCTTATCCTGTAATTGTAAAGTGCTGAAAGACAGGAATCCTCCTACAAGGAACCTGAAATGGCATCTCTGCCTCAGTGCACACACTTTATTCTCTTAAAAAAAAAAAAAAGTGAAAATTACTGGTTGAGGTTTCGGTTCGTGTTTTTTAAACAAGGCAAAAAATGAGCTGCAAATGGCACAAGGGGTACCAGGTCTTAAAATTATGCTTTCTTTACTGAAACTGAACTGGGTCTTACTTCTTAAATAGCCCCACTGACACAAAAACCAGACCAGACATATATTATGGCAAAAGACTCAATCTTCTTTTTATAGCACAGATTAATCCTAGACCTCACTTGATGATTTTAGACAATCCGAGTATGGAACAACACAAGAGTGCACTACATTTGTTATTTTGGCTGTGCATCTTGCACCAGATTGTCCTTGCCTGCATCTGTAAAATACTGTCTAACTCAACAGATTAAAACACAGTCTGGACTCTGTTCCTCTTTTCTACATTTAGGAAGGCAAGCACCAGAATTTGTGCAAAAAGAGGAGTCGGTTCAGCTTGAAATCTCCCCCTAAGTACGTGTGAGATTCAAGTTTGGATGCCACTGCTACCTTACTGCTCCAGAAATGTTCGCTTCTCTCTATCCTCATCAAGAATTTAATTTCTGCTTTCAGAGACAGGTTGTGAAATTTTTAAAAAAAACCCAAGGTTATAGAAAATCCTAGAATTTCCAGTTTCATTCTTAAAATAAGGATTGCCACCAGAAAAAAAAAAAGAAAAAAAAAAAAAAGAAAAAAAAAGAGAACAAATATCTGCATTCCAGTAGCGAAGAACATGTAGAAATATATCCAAGGCTGACAGGCTTATAGTGGTGGTTTAATGGAGTCAGAAATCTTTTGAATAAGCAGGAGCAGCAGAAATTACCAACAAAGAATAGCATTCAAGTGGCAGCTTATTCCAAACCACTTCCCCATCCATCTTCAGAAATCTGGTAAAACTGCAGATTTCCTCATATTTTACAAGCATGTGATTTTTTGAGGGAGATGAACTATTCATTTTCATGGTGTATTGCTGCTCCTTACACAAAAGCATTAGCTAGAAGGTGCTTTTTATTCTGCAGCAAAATGCACACACAAAGAGATTTTGGCTTGTGAAAGACTCCTTTTTATTTATTTTGCAAATAAGTTTCTCTATGGCTCCTGTCTAAAGCAGATTTGGCAACATTCTAAAGAGCAATACTCTCCTCAGATGCACCACAGCTATGTTTCCTTTTCCAGCAGTGAAATATCCCAGCATTGCCAGGCTTTTGTCAAACATGGACAAAAATCTCTGTCATTTATTATTCATCCTGGCAAGCCAGAGATGTGCTGAGGTTATAGGGATTCCCACACACTTCCACTCATCCAAGGGAAAGCTGGAAGTTACCTGCACTTTCCAAGACAAGGAATATCCATTGATGGAGACAGAACCAGGCTCAGCTCTTTCCAGTTTTTGCTGCCCAAGAAGAAGTCAGCTTTGTCTAATTTGGATGTGTATTCACAACCTTTCTCTTGAATTCAAGTCTCTCACAGAAAATAAAGTAATCCAGCAATTCATGAAGTCTTAGAGATTGCTTTCTGATAAAGCCATATGTTTTAATATCAGAGTACAGGAGTGGCAACAAATTTTTTCCATAATGAAATCAATGCTAGAGTCAGATTTTACTTCTTTTAAATTTAAAAAATAAAAAAAAAGAGTATAGAAATTACCTATTTTTTTTTAATTTAAGGAGTTGTTCACTGTTTAAAATCTGAGCCAGAAAGAGAACACAGGCCATAGAAATGTTACACAGAGCTGCCTCAAAGTTCCACCCACCACAGACTTTGCCAAAATCTGGGGCTATGGGAACAGGGGAATATATTATAATTATATCCCAGAATTGTGCTTCCCAGTGCCTACTGCTCAGGGAGCAGGAGGATGGACTAATGATTATCCCAACTGGTTTCAAAAATAGTTTCACCACTGCAGCAAAACCCTGTACAATGATTCACTCTTGGTTCTTGAACTCCACACTTAGATCAGAGAAACCATGTAGCAAAGTATTGCTAAGCATAAGGAAAACTCACACAATTAAATTCAGTCTTCCCCAGCACAACAATTTAATGTTTGGCTTGGGGGTTATTTTGGTTTTTTGTTGTTTGATTTTTGGTTCTTGGGTTTTTTACACAGCTGTCATCCGTTTCAGGAAAAAACATATATTCTCATCCATCCAGGATGAAAAAGCCCAAAATAGAGCTGCTTCTTAATGCAATATAAATAAAATATTTCTTGTTTATGAAGGCAAATTTAAAAATCAGGCCTGCAGCCTCTGTCTTAGAAGGCTGGGATATATGGTCACCTCAAATGCAGGAGGTACCTTTAAGCTGTTCCTTAATTAATTTTTTTTTTATAACTGAAGGATTAAGCATTTATATAAAAAAGCTGAATAGAAATGATATAGCTGATTTGCATTTAATCTGAACTCAAGTTTAAAAAGTAAAACCCTGGCCTCACTGAAGACTCAGGGAAAGATAACTTTGAGGCAGCTGTTGGAAAGACTGAACTAATACTTTTACAGCCTGAACTACACCCACAATTTCAGCATTTCTGAGGTGGTCTGTCTTACTGCACTCTTATATATAACATAATATATAATAGATATATAAATAATACATGATATGTAGAGATCATTATGGTTGTTAATCATTGCTAGGGAAGTTTATCAGAATTATGAAGTTTGATAACTGAATTCAGCCATCCCATCTGCATGTGCTGAGCAGGGAAGAGCCAGGAGAGCAGTGACAGCAGGGCAGCTCTCTATATATTTTATATTTATATTTATTATTTATATTTATATTTATATTTATATTTATATTTATATTTATATTTATATTTATATTTATTATATTTAGTGTTGGCAGAAGCTAAAACAAAGGATTTGCTTTTAGGGGAAAAAAAAGAGGTTATTCAGAGTCCAGTATCTCAGTGCCTAACACGCCTAAAACAAATTGGATTGCAAAATTTAAGCACTTAACCTTATAAGAGCATGGCAAGGTTTTGTCAGGTCATCCAAGCAGCTGATTGAAAAAGCTTCTCTACTCATTTCTCTCACATCCCTCTCAGCTAACACCACTTTCAATCCTAAACTGAAAAATCAACATTCATAAATTCAGTCATCTGATAACGCTGCTTTTTAAAGACATCCCATAATTTGCTGCATTTTGGAAAACATTGGTTTGGAAAAGAATTGCCTTTAGGATTAAAGGAACATCCTCTACTTGTGAAATGTTTCCTACTGCTTAGCAAATGAAAATTTCCTCAGTTTACAGCCATCAAATAACCCCCAGGCTTTAGTACTCACAAACATCAGCCGTGTAGGGATGTTGTCTGATTGCACCAAAGGATTTTTGTACAGCCAGATCTCCTCTGGCTGGATCACTCGCTGGAATGGATCCAAAAATTCTGTAAAACTGAAAAAAAAAATACAAAAAATACAAATTTTTCACAATTTGAAGTGATGACCAAAAACCCCCAGAAGAGTTTTGCTCACTTCCCCAAACTCTCTGTCATAGTATGCATGAATTATCCTTGTTAATAAATTGCTACATTGCCATCCTACCTCATTGCATTTTAGTAATATGAACTTTATAAATACACCCTTCAGAAAATGGGTTTTAAAAGTCTACACCTTTGAAGTTTTTCTACAACTTTATAAAAGTTCTATGAACGCCACTGTGGAGAAAAATTTTTTTTTGTGGGAAAAGTGTGCAAATAACACTGTGAGATTAAATAAATCATGTAGTCATTTACTATCAGTTTATAATCATGTAATCCAGTCTTTTACTCTGAAGAAATTATGTAACAAAAGTAAAATATAAAATGCCTTTCAAATGCCAAGATTCAGACTTTGAAGCATGACAGTTGCATTTGCAGGATCACAAAGCAAAAGAAGCAGCCCAGAAAATTTCTTCTACTGATAGAAAAAAGATAACTTTAGAGAATATCTCCAGAAGAGACTTACTCCAAAAACAGGATGGGCTGTCAAGCATAAGAATCTAAGTCTACCAAAAATGTCTCATTCTACCAAAACAGTTTTAATTTCATTATTATGTCTATTAAACCTCTTATAAAACAAAACAAAAACAGAAAACAAAACAAAACAAAAAAACCACCCAAAAACCACACTAAAAAACTTCATCATTCTGTAATTAAGTTATTTTGCAATTAAGAACATAAAAATAAAATGTTGAGGTCCCAATGTTCTGTAGAAAGTAATTTGTGTGGGTATCTTTTGTCATGCACAGAAAGAAAAAGCAGGAATTGTGATCTTTGGCCACAGCAGGAAGTTTCAGAAGCTTTTCATGACTTAAATTGTCTCACTTCATTTAAACCGTGCTCCTTTTCCCACAGAGTCCTTCAGTGCTCTTTAACTTTTCTTGGCTTTGAATTAATTTCAGACAACCTGGGAAGTTTGGCCTTTGCTTTCCACTGCTAATTTCAGGTCTGGATGATCAGGACTCGAGGATTGGGGGTTGAGGGAAGACACAGGGACCAGTTTTCTGCAGATTGCTCTCACCTGATAAGCCCATAGAGCCAAAACTCAAAGGGGTGTAACCACCCAAAGCTTTTTATACTGTAAATTTTCCAAAGCCAAGGGCTTTACACGTCTCCAAACCCAGGTTTTACATCAGGCACATCAAATGGCTTTGCAAAGAGAAAAAACCCAAAGTAATTTGCAGAGCAGAGTAAAATTAAAGCACACTCACAGATGTAAGTCTCCCCAGGGAGGACAAGCCCTCAAACCAAGCTGGGTCAGCAATTCCCAAGCAGGAGCAATTCCTAACCCCTGTGCCCATGGCAGGGGGCTGAACCAGGGGATCCTAAAGGTCTCTTCCAACCCAAACATCCTCTGACCCCTTTACCTGGCACAGAGACTCTCTCTACCCACCATTCCAAAGAGCCCCACTCAGCTCCTCTTCCTCTCCTTTCCTAAAGGAAAACAACCAAGTTTAAGGAGCAAAGAAGGTCAAGCACAGCTTGTCACTTGTAAGAGTATTTGTGTTTCCTATGCTGGCCCACATGGACAACAGATTATTCTGGGAGCTTAAGGAGTTTGGTTTTGCAAGGGAAATATTTATTGTTATACTCAGCTTCTCCAAACCCAGAGTCTGAGCCTGAGTTCAGAAGAATTCACCAAGAAGGTGAATTTCAGAAGTGTCAAAACAATTTGTTTCAGTGTTTTCAAAATGAAAGCAAAGCTTTTTTTAAGTTTAAAAGACAATTGCTCATATGGAAAATTAATTTTATAGTTTACAAGCTAGAAAAATAAAGGTAGACTACTAGACAAACGCAAGGCTTTGTTCCAAATTTCAACTGAGAGTCCTAAAGTATATTATTTGAAGCATTTCTGGTCACTGCAGAGAGCAAATCACACACAAACATCTGTGCTGCAAGGTGATCAGGACACACCCATTCACCAGTGCACTTTTGGAAAATTTGTCACATTTGATCAGAAATGTAATTAATTTGATGTTAAGACATTTGACATTATGAACAAATGCCAACAGAGTTAAAGGTCTGGGGCTCTTCTTGATCTTTTGTTTCCTGCCCCTCGTGACATAACAAAGGCAAAATTATTGTTGTTTAAATCTGAGGAATTAAAAAAAATCAAGTTCAGTTCTCTCAGGAAACACTAGGACACTGCAGATACATACTGTTACAAAATTTAATGCCTTTAAGAGAAAAATAACACATGCTAAAGAGATGAAAACGTAATAAATAACATAAATAATATCTGATTTCAGATGAGGACTGATTTTTTTACTAATATATACTCATCTGTACTCATATAAAGAATGAGTAATTTCAACAAATGCATTAATGACTGTAATTATTATTATTATTTTATGCAACAGCAGCAGTTTTGTATCCACTATATATTAAATCTGATTAGGTTTTCATTCCTTTCTTTGACTTGTGTTCTGAATATGTTCCCAAAACTGTGTTGAAATTTAGTGCAAGATTATGCAAAAAAACCCAAAAAACAAACAAACAAAAAAGTTTTCTGAAACTGGCCAAAATAATTTCAAACTCACTTTTGAAGGAAGAAAAAAATAGCTGCAGAAGGCAGCAGATGTCTCTGTGAGCAATACAGAAATAGAAAGTAAACAGTTAAAGGAAAGAGACTGTAAAAAAAGAAATAACTTTTTTTTTAATCTTCCCAAAGAGCTCAACTGCTAATTAAATTTTTATGCCAAGACTCATAAGAGAACAATTCTCTTCTTTTTTGAAGCATCACCAATGGGTGAGTGGATATGAGATTTCACTAGCTTGAAGGCAATTCCCTTTGTACTCTATTAAACAATCATGAGGACATACTGGTTTCTAAGCTGCCTGACACTTGGTGATTTATGTTCCTTTGTCCCAACCAAAGTACAGCCTATCACTACTCATAAGTCAGCACAAGCTTGTTTAAAGAACTAGATGTTATGAGAAATTAATGCAGTCCTTGGACAAAGAAAACTGGTTTTGATCCTTTTGTGTTATGGCCCAAAGTACAACCTCAGCCATGGAAGTGTCCCCTGGCAGCAGGTGGGCAAAAAAGCTTCCTTTGTTTTAGTACAGAAAAATTAAATCTTGGCTTTTTGGTCTTTTTTCTTCGTTTTTCCATATTCACCCAACATTTTTAACAGCTTAGCAAGATCTCAAACTCTTCAGCCTGATGACACGTCTTTAAGGCATAAAAGGATTTCCATTAACTTCGAGAGCCTTTAACTGTGTCTTTCAAAGCAGCCCAAGGGAAAGAGGGGCCCAAATTCCATTAAAAACATCAGTGAGCAACAGGTGCCCCAGTCCCTGGGGTTGCTTTGGCCGTGCACACGCTCTGCTAACAGCTCCACACGGAGTAAAAACGCTGCTCTTTCCCGAGGTCTTCGAGGCACATTAACTCCATTTCCATCTCACAGCCTGCAGCCCTCCAGGATCATTTTGTGCCAGCACCACATCACAGCCAGAGCCAGGTAACAGCACACTAAAAGTGGTTTTATGGTGATATGGACTAATAACTTGGGGTTATGTTTCTATGAAACCGTTCACTGATAGTGAAGGAATCAAATGCAGCATAAATATCCTCACACAAGTTCTGACTGGAGCTTCCACTGGGGTTTTCATTTCCCATGAGCAGCAGCAGGATATATATATATATAGGATATATATATAGGATATATAGTTTGGCACCTCACCTTATTGTTTCCACCACTGCCTGGCCCTCAGCTGCATGAATCACACAGCAAGGGTTAAATTCCTGCCTGGCCCTGAGCATCAGCTAAAGGCAAGAGAGGGGAAAAATTGGGATTTGTTGCCTTTTACTTTTTCTCTCACAGACAAATCTTGTCCCAAATAACTGAGAGGACAGAGCAGTACACATGGGATTGCAAAGCACCAGGAGAAAATGAACAGGAACTTGTGATTGTGACAGCCAAACTTTCCAGACACCTAATGAATGACCCTCCTCTTCTCTAAGCTTTGTCTGTTGATAAGCAGATTTTATCCTCAAATGGCTCTGTCTGTGTGTCCCCATTGGGGAAAACAACAAAAAGATAGCAAATCTTCATGAACTTCTCTTATAAATCACCTCTGGGGGCTTATTGAGAAAAAAATTGGCTCTGACCACTATTCCTTGCTTGCAGAACTCTGTGTGAGCAAACACTGTTATCTCTCCCAAAAACACAGGTTAACTGTGGTTGGGCTGCTGGAACTGCATTTTGCACATTTTTGCATGGATATTTCCTCTAGTATTCCCCAAACTAGGTCTCAAAGCTCGGAGTAAAAGCTTGTCCAATGTACCTGTCACGTGCAATTGTGCAATCGGTTGCTCTGCAAGGCTGTGAGCGGTGTCAGTGGTGCTGAAGTTGGTGAAAGTTGGCCTAATTACAGAGTATGTGCACAATTCATAAGTCAGGACTTGCTTCAGGGGCTTCCCACAAGTGATCCAGGCTAAAAGAACCCAGAGTTTGCATCAGCTGGGTGCATTGAACACTGCTCACATCACCTCGGCTCACATTTGAATTCAAGACTTCAATTTACCCTTTCTGAAACACACTAATAGTGGGGAAAGCATTCATGCCATCTTATCTGATGTACCTGGAGAGAATAACTTATCCCCAAGCCAAGAGAAAACAGGTTTGTTTACTGCTTGCAGATAATATTATGGAAAAAAAATACCATAACTTCTTGGAGGTTATTTTACAAATTCCTGCAAAAACAGACAAAATATGAAAATCTTGAAACGTTCTGTGTCTGGCATGTAAAATGAACAAAACTGAAGGAGAAGGGATAGTGATGAGGGGAGATAAGAAGCAATGCCTGTGGTTTATCACCATGATTCTGCTCTCCATGGAGCTGGAGCAATTCAGGCTCTGAAATGCTGCTGTCTGTGTGTGTCAGCATGATGAGATAGCTTTGTGTCAGC